ACTCTGATCAGGCAGCCTGGCTTTTAGCCAACACAGGCAACAGTTTCATCCCATGGTTTCTATACCAAGCCCTCATTGACTGACTGAGCTACAGCATACTTTCTAGGAAAAGACATGCAATTTTTATGTCAAGACTTTGAGCTAAAGAAAACACACGACACCCTTTGGTAAATTGTCTCAACTATCCTCACTGTTATGTAGTTACCCTCTATGGCACCCTATGACTAGCCTTCGCTTCCATTCACTGGATCTTGTTAGGTCTTTAGCAGGTAGATTGGAGAGTCCTTTTAACTTTCAGAAATCTCTTCCTCCAGGCATATACTTGCAGTCTGTGATACCTCTTAACCTTCCTTTGGATATACTAGATAGATTGAGTTACTTTACTTTCTCACCATAGGTCCCCCTTTTCAGGCTTCAAATCGTTTTTGTAGCCCCTCCATTTCCCTTTTTAAAAATACTTTTCAGTTTTTAATATCCCCCATAAAATGTTGACAATGTGAAAGAACGCAGATACACCAGTAAAGGGCTTACTGAGGTGGTGTACCGTGGTAACACCACCACCTTCTTGCTTCTTCTTATTTACCTTAGCTATAGCATTGCATGGAAAGCTCATGGTCAGTGACTTATTTGCTTTGACTTTTGTTTTCTCCATGTCACAGTTTACCCAAAATATAATCTCTTTTCTACAGTTCTGATGGGATCCTACATTGCTGGTCACTAGGTATATGACCCTGTATTTGACTTATTAACATACATATTATTCAATTGAACCCTGTTTATCATGCAATCGAGATCACTCTGTAGAACCAAACTTTCACTGTTTCCTTACTCCACCAGTTTGTGTATCATCTGCAATTTTCACAGCAAAAAAGTTCTTTATCTTTTATTCCAGGACACAAGGTTTAAAAAGAGAGAGAGAGCGAGATAGAGAGAGTGAGAGAGAGAGAGAGAGAAAATGAACAGTAGGCCTGTGGGACTCTGCTAGAAATATGTCCCATTGGATTATTAATCCCCATTAATAATTACTTTTTGAGATCTATCAGTTATCCAGTTATTAAATTAGTTTGATAAGGTTACATTTATTTCATAGAGTATATTTGTTTTTAATGACACTGCCATGGGGGATTATGTCACATGCTATGTAGAAATCAAAGTAGGTTTTATTTGTTAAAATACCACCATCTCACTCAAACTTGTGGTCACATTGATAGTCAGTTTCGCAAGACTGCTTCAAGTTTATTTCTATGAAATCTTGGATTTTTGGTATTACTTATATTTCCTTCATCACATTTCAGCTTGTTTATGATCTTGCCCAAATGTCAAACTAACCAGCCTATAATTCCTGGATCATTCTGATTACCCCTTTTAAATACTGGTACAACATTAGCTTTTCACTAGTCCTCTGAAATTTGCCAAGTATTCTACATTTTGGCAGATATTAATATCATTATTTCAGAAAGCTCCATAGCCAAGTCTTTAAGAATTCTTGCATGTACATTTCCTGGTCCTGGCAACTTAACACAGTTGCAAGGCAGAAGAGAATCAGGCTCTTTAATTCTGAAACAAACACACTGAAAGCCTGTTTAAAAGCTTGTATACTGCTATTCATTCTACATGATTGCAGCCTTACAGGGCACATATACAGGAGGAGCTAGCTTGGGTGCTGAAAACTGAATAGATGGAGTTAGTCCAGAGCTCTGTCCAAGCTAACATACCCAGTTTCTCAGCAGTGTAAATTAGCATAGGAACGGGAACACTAACATAGCTATACTGCTGCTTGTACTTAATTCAGAGCTAGCTCAGGTGTCTTTATCTGGTCTATGAAGGCATTCCCATATAAATTTGTACTTCTTTTTGTGGTATCTCTGCTTTTCCTTTCCTGTACTTGCAACATTGCAATGTGAAAATGGGATCACCAGAGTTTGGAAAAATGCCTTATAGGAAGAAGAGCCCGGTGTTTAACTTATTAAGAATATCAGGAAGGGTCTCTATCTGAGTGGTTCTAGCACAATTTGCATACTCTATTAAAAATTAAAAAACAATGTATGCAGTTTTCATTTATGAGGGGGCAAAGTTTGTAGGTGCCCGTGCCTGCCCATACTCTTAGCAAATCTAACATTTTCACATGCAGAAAACTGTACGTGCAAGCATTTCCACATATGGTTTTCAAAACCTGATCAGAAAGGCTTGGGGCTAAATTTAGGCTCTTGAAGTTGACTCTCCATAGATAAAATTGAGTACTGATGCCCATATGCTAAGAATACAGAAAGTGTGAATAGCAAAAACAATTATGAAATCAATGTACGTGGTCTTCAACTACACATTGCAGAATGATTTGTAACTTTTGTCAAACTCTTCTGATGAAATGTTCTATACATTTCAGATATCCTTTACCTTCCCTGCTCAAATAAAAAAAAAATCAGTTTATAAGAGCGGCATCCTGCTTTTACAGTGTAATACCTCAGATAGGACAGCATGCAACCCAAAGGAAAACCAAGATCCTAAGCTCTCACCTGAAGCTTTAATTCAAGTAAAATTCTCCAGGTAAAATAGGAGCTATTTTTACAGAGTTTTAACACTATATTTTAGTATCATGTGATCTATCTGAGAATTCATGTATGCTAATGTTAAGGTAGAAATATATGTTTAACTGCTTCAAGTTTAGTTCTTCCTGTCCTATACATACTTTTCTGTTTGTTAGGTCATCATACCTACTGTATCATCTATTTATGAGAAGAACATTGTAAGCTTATGCTGAATTATCTATACTCTCTACCCATTGAAATAGCAGAGACAAGATGTAGGAACTTGTAGGAACACTGTCAGAGCTCATCAAAACTGACTTGTTGCGGGGGGTGGACAGACCTTAGGTATACCCCAATTACATGGTACATATTTCTGGCTCTTACAAAATCTTGAAAATATGTGACATGGAGAAACTACTTGGGATCTCCAGTTGGTTTTCTTCCATTTTGAACAAGGTTTTTAAAGGCTGCTTATCTAAATCATCAGTTAACAGCTAAATTAAGCTAGGTTTACACAAACAGCAGTGCCAAAACCTTTCAGAACTCTGTTATTGTTCTTCCAAGGTTTTCAGAGAAAGTCAACAATAAAAAGACAATCAACGAGGTTAATTATAAGTTCATTTTCATGAGATTTTTTTCTGAATGAAAATATTGGGTAAGATTTTCTGAAATGCTCCCACTGAAACTGATGGTAACCCCCACTCCACCTTGCTGCCTTCAGTGGAGGCGATCAGGCCACCTCCAAAAACAGTGAAAATTTCTACACATCAGTTTTGTGCAAAAAAACAACCCAAGTTATCAGCACTACATTTCTACGCATGCAGAGTTTGAGAGAAACAAACACTGTTGGTTGGATTCTTATCAAACAGCAGCAAAATTCACATAGTGGTTTCTAGTAATTTGTGTTCACTTGCACAGAAATACAGTTAAAGGGATTAATTCATTCCCAATTTCCTTGGATTAGTTTCTGCTGGCATAAAGCAAGGCACCATGTTTTTGCAGTTGGAAAGCTTACTTGGGATGTGGAATGTGAGATGTGCTGGTGGTAAAAGGACAGGGACCAAAGCAGGCTGAGGATGCACCAAGTCATGCTCCTACGCTGGCCAGGTTCCAATGGAGCCTGACCAAAGGCCATCACCACCTTGCCCTTTGCTTAAAACAACTCGTCAGGGCAGCACAGGAGACCTCCCTGGTGCAAACAGACTGCAACTTGTACTTCCCTATACCAACCAACATGAATTTATAAAATGAACAGCAGCATATTTGAACACATTTTATAAGATAAGAAGAGGAGTGGCTAATGCCACAGAGGATTCCCAGAGCAGAGGGAGTCCATTTGAAGTCAGGGCCATATCTATCAACACCATCCTCAAACTATTACGGGATTAAGATAGAAGTAACAACACACACACGGCAGTGTAAAAACGTAAACACGATAAGCAGAATAACCATTACGCGTACGTACAATATGTGTATAGCTAGCCTAGCACATAAGAAAGGCAAAGAGCTCAAAAAGCCTCTCCAAACAAGAAATTCCTGCAAAGACCTCCTAACTTCAGATGGCAAGTTGCAAACTGGTAAAACCATAGAGCAAAATACTGGGAACAGCCAGAGCTGAGACACTGAAGTGAATGCAGCCGAGTGCCAGACTGGGTGAGCGACTGCACACTCCTTCCGACAACAGTTGCCTTGTGCTTCCAAGCAGCTTGCAAAATGTCTTCAGGTTCAGGGGCTTTCCCAGGATTTTGCTTAGATGCAATGCTCCCGTCCTCCCCAAGTTACTGAAGAACGAACAACTTTTCCCCTTGTTCCAAGTGCTTGACATCGCCATCTCCACTTGGGATCTTGATCCTCCCTCTCCTCTACCTCCTGCCAGAAAACCATCCGTCTGAGCCTAACCTTTTCCCCAAAGGGCGCCTATCCCTCAGCCCAGCCCCTCCAGCCCGCTCGTCTCCACGGAGCCCAAAGCCGAGGCAGCCTGGCGAGCCGGGAGGGAGGAAACACCCGGGATCCCCGGGATTTCTCTCTCGACCCACTCCGCTTCCTCCGCCCGCGCTCTCCTCGGGGAGGCACTCAGTGCCCGCCACGGGGGATTTCAAACGCGGCCGGCGGCTCCGCTCGGGCACAGCCAGCCCCTGCAGGGGGATCTCCTTGTCCCCGTCACAAAGCCGAGGCAGCCTGGCGAGCCGGGAGGGAGGAAACACCCGGGATCCCCGGGATTTCTCTCTCGACCCACTCCGCTTCCTCCGCCCGCGCTCTCCTCGGGGAGGCACTCAGTGCCCGCCACGGGGGATTTCAAACGCGGCCGGCGGCTCCGCTCGGGCACAGCCAGCCCCTGCAGGGGGATCTCCTTGTCCCCGTCACCGGGGCGAGGGCGAGGGCGGACTGCGGCGGGCTCGGCCGCGGTGCCCCGGCCCCTCTCCGGGGACGAAGCGGGCGGACCCCGCGCCCCGCCCGGGCCCGGCTCTCACTCACCCGAGGTGAGCTGCATCCAGGCGCAGATCTTGTAGACGGTGGCCGTGTTGCAGAAGAAGAAGAGGATGAAGCAGACGATGCAGGCGATGATGAGCATCATGGAGAGGCCGATGAAGAAGGAGGCGGCTTTGAAGGCCCCCGCGGGCAGGCTGGAGAAGTCCGTGAAGCTGCCGCTGCAGGTGAGCTCGCGGGAGAAGCCGGTGCCGATG